CCACTAATGAGCATATGATGATTATAACCAGAGAGTTCTGTAGATATAATAGCAATTTAATCGTTGAGTTCATGTGCTGATTGCAGCTAAGATTTGGAAGCACTGAGTGGCCGTTTCATCCTAGTATGCGACTTCTTAACGATCCCGCCACACGAAATTCGAACTTGGGACCTATCGGTCTCCTGCGCGAACGCTTAACATCTAGACCGCTGATTCGATATCCATTATAATTATTATTATTACCATTATCGCTTTGTTTGTGTGTGTGGAAGAAAGAGAATTAATGATTTTTTTGCATATACATATATTTCTGAAGTATTTCCTGTATACTATATCCTTTGTCATGTCAGTAAATTTGTAATTTGTAGAGGCTAGTATCCTCTATGTCTGACTCCAAAAAATAGTATCTCGTTAACTGAGTATTTAATACAGGCTAAACCTCGTAGTAGAATTATTGATTTACTTCAGATTATTCAAAAGACTGAACACCATTTATAGAGATAGTTTATCGTTAGAGATTGGTAAAATCCGCAAGCGTACACGAAGCAAGCACACAGGGAAACCAAGAGTGTATGTATGTGTGTGTGAGTGTTAAAAATCCATAAATATTTTTTGACTGTTAATGAAATATGGATAAATTATTGATTGACTGTGTATTACAATCAATGGGAGAATAGATTACATGGTGGATCAAGTGTCTAAATTACAGTGAGCAGCTAAATAATACAGTAGTGGAATGGGCTTACTACAAATGTATTGGATTGATTATGTAATCAATAGGTGTGCTATAGGTTAAAATTTAGTGAATAATAAATGAGATTCTAATTTATGGATGAACTTTGAGTGGAGCCAAAGTGCTTCTGAGAAAATTCATCTACTAACTAGGGTCTAAAGAGGGTTATAAATTGTTGTGCGGAATCAAAATTACAAGTCAAAGGTTAGGGTTAGTAATTAGAGTTAGTGTTGTCATCACAAACTAACATCAGACATAATGCAAACATTCTACTTAGCCATATGAAACAGTTGATTTTGCGCCGAAATACAAAGCTCATTCATAGATCATCGTCTCGCCGAACAATGTTAAGTCCTAGTGCGGCATGTGTTGCTGATGTCGACAGATATAAGTTGTATGTATCATCAATTGAAAATCAAATACCTGGAGGCAGACGGTTAAGAAGATTGAAGAGAAGAGAACGAGAACAGACAGTTATTGGTATGGAAATGAAGGAAAATCGAAGCAGCACCCACAGACCTTCCAATAGATGTCACCACACCAACGACGGAAGAAATCAGGATGGCCATCAGATAAGTCAAGAGCGGGGAAACAGCAGGACCTGACGACATACTAGGCGAAGCATTGACTTCAGAAATAGAAGCAACTCCAATCATGCTTCACACTCCAGTCAAGAAGATTTGGGAGGAAGAATAAGTGCCACAGACAGAATCGAAAGAAGGACACCTCATCAAGATATTAAAGACAGGAGATCTGAGTAAATGTGAGAACCACAGAGGCATCACACTACTGTCAGTACCAGGAAAAGTATTCAACATGGCGTTGCCGAACCAGATGAAAGACTCAGTAGACGCCCAACTTTGAGATCAATAGGCTGGATTCCGTAAGGATAGGTCGTGCACAGCCCAAACAGCGACACTACGGATGGTCGTTGAGTAGTTAATTGAATGGAGTTCATCACTAAACATCGAACTCATTGACCAAGAGAAAGCATTTGACAGCATGGATAAGATGACACTACGAAACGTTGTTCGACACTATGGTGTACCTGAGAAGATCGTCAACGTCATAAGGAATTCATAGGACGGGCTACAGTGCAAAGTAGTGAGTGAAGGACAGTTGACAAATGCATTTCAAGTAAGGACCGATGTCATACAAGGCTACTTACTCCCCCCCTTTCTCCTCCTTCCAGTGGTTGACCGCATTATGAAGACCTCGACATCTGAGGATAAGTACGGAATACAATAGAAAGCTAGGATCTGATGTGGGGTTTGGACTTTACACATGACCTAGCTCTTCTGTACCATACATATGAACAAATGCAAGTGAAGACAACTAGTGTAGCATCAGCCTCTGCATCGGTGGGTCTCAATATACACAATGGAAAAAGTGTGATCTTCAAATACAACACGGTGAACACTAACCCAATCACACTTGATGTAGAAACTCTAGAAGATGTGGAAAGTTTCACGTAAGAGGATAGCATCATCGATGAACAAGACGGATCTGATATATATGTGAAGGTATAGATTGGCAAATTAAGGGCAGCATTCCTCCAATCGAAGAACATATGCAACTCAAAACAACTGTCTCTCAACCAATATCAATGTCACAATCTTCAATACGAACGTCAAGACAGTTCTACTGTATGGTACTAAAACTTGGAGAACCAATACAACTATCATCAAAACAGTATAAGTATTTATCAACAGTTGTGTACGCGAAATACTCTAGAACCGTTGGTCGGATACCACCAGCAACAGCCTATTGTGGGAGAGGGAAAACCAACTTCTAGCTGAAAAGGAGACCAGAAAAAGACGTTGTAGATGAATAGGAGATACATCGTGAAAATCATCAAACTGCAACACGAGGTAGGCAGTGACTTGAAGTGTTCAAATCAAGGGAGAAGAAGAAGATCAAGGAAAAGATTGCGTCGGGAATCCGAAGGAGACATCGAAATGATAATAGCAATTAGAAAAAGGTGGAAAGGAGAGCATAGGACAGAGTAGGTGTGAGAATCTTGGTGGGCGACCTATGCTTCCCGACGGGGGACAATATGTTTAAATAAGTAAGTTACTGAACATCTTATTGATAGGAGCTTAAAGTTTAATTGACTAGAAATTAATTGGGAATTCGCCGCGATTATTCAATGATCATTGTGCCTACAAACTTCCTTATGCCTGTTACCCTTCATTAAGGAGTGTAGGCCGACCACCTGCACTCTCCACCCAAACCCTATCCTGGGCAATCTTTTCCAGTTCTTTCCATTTCCTATTCATCCTTTTCATGTCTGCTTGCAGTTCCAAACGTAGTGTGTTCTTCCGCCCACCGCTTTTCCGTTTTCGTTCAGGATCCCAAGTTAGCGACTGCCTCGTGATGCGGTTTCATGATTTCCACAATGTGTGACCTATCCACTTCCAATATCTTTTCCTAATTTCCTCCCCAGCTCGAAGCTGGTTTGTCTTCTCTCATAGTAGGCAGTTGCTAATAGTATCCAACCAAAGGGTACTGAGTATCTTACGTAGAAAATTGTCTATAAATACTTGTACCTTCTGGATGATGGTTGTTGTAGTTCTCCAAGTTTCAGCTCCATACAATAGAACTGTCTTGACGTTCATGATGAAGATTGTGACATTGATATTGGTTGAGAGACAATTGTTTTGAGTTGCATATGTTCTTCGATTGGAGGAATGCTGCTCTTAATTTGTCAATTCACGCCGTCACATCTATATCAGATCCTCCTTATCCATCGATGATGCTATCCACGTACGTGAAACTTTCCACCTTTTCTAGAGTTTCTCCATCAAGTGTGATTGTAATTACAAACTACCTTTATCAAAAAGCTGTACAAATTTCATAACTGTCATAGAATAAAAGTCCTTTGTTTTAAACAATCTACAATCTCACTGGCCCGTAGAAACATCAAGGTTACTTTTCACATTGATTAGTGACTGAGAGTTTTAAAATAAGCACTAACCTTAATATCTGTCATATAGTAACCAAGTTGAAATGATTCTTATTTGTTTTAATTAATTGACATTTAGTAACTTACATATTTTCCTAAAACTATTTCATTCATTAATGGTTAGTAAACTTTGTATTGAATAACAATTCACTTGGATAATATGGGATAATGAAAAAAATATATTCAAGAAACAAAATGTCAATTCAAATGATAGAGCCTTCATCATGCAAATCAGTTTCGTGGAGGAATTCTCGGAGTTCTAGTGAGAAGCTGTGACGAGTGGAGCTAATCTATGTCGAGTAAAGATGGGTATCTACCTCAGTACAATGAAAAATGATTGTTTCGTAACTTCTGTGTTGGTGTACAATAGTTTCATTAGTTCTATCTATATTTCTTGGTGCGCTTTTCAATGGTTTGTCAAAACGTATTCTCCAAATAATAAAAAAAACACACAATCTTTCTTCATGCAAGTAATCTTTTCTCATCTCTTATACAAATTAGTGTTAATAATTAAGAGATTGATTAATACTTCCATTCCTCTTATTCTTACTTAATTACATACTTACACCTGTTACTCCCAATGGAGCATAGACCGCAGACCACCATTCTTCAACCTACTCTGTCCTCAGCCTTCTTTTCTAGTTCCATCCAATTCTTGTTCATTTTTCTCATGTCTGCCTCCATTTCCCGGCGTAATGTGTTCTTTGGTCTTCCTCTTTTCATTTGGCCTTCAGGATTCCATTTGAAGGCTTGCCTTGTGTCGCAGTTGGGTGCTTTCCTCAATGTGTATCCTATCCACTTCCAGCACTTCTTCCTGATTTTTTCCTTCACTGGGATCTGGTTTGTTCTTTCCCACAGTACGTTGTTGCTAATAGTGTCCGGTTAACGGATCTGAAGTAATTTCTCTTATTCACCATTATGTAATAATGTAAAAACTTTTAAATTTCTTAATATTTCATTCTAGTATTGAACTTCTTAAACTTACTCTTTCACAAACTCAACTAGGATTAAACAATCAAATTTCGACCTTTACAACTAATACTTAACTTACAGATCCATCTGGTTAGAACCTAAACAGTTCATATTTCTAACATCAATTAGCCGACATTATTGCTCTATCGTCATCTGTTAGCCTTTTTGTAATATATTTTTCATTCTTTATTCTACGTGGAGTAGACTATGACGATGTTGTTCAGAATAATATTGTAAACTCCATAGTTAATACAAATATCTGTAGAGAGAGAGAGAGAGAGATAACCTAGATGATCAAAACGTATTGAAAAGAAAGATTCCTTAATTCTTTTAATCAATTTTCTGAAGTTCTGGATGCAAATGATTAGTTAATTGATCATTATAGATTGAAAAATTCAATAAAATTTTGATATGTAGCCATAATGATGATGATTTAGATGATCCGGATGATTTGGATGATGATGATGATTCGGATGATTTGGACGATGATGATGATGATGATGATGATGATGATTCGGATGATGATTTGGATGATGATGATGATGATGATTCGGATGATGATGATTGAAAACACATAGTTCTATGTTCAGTTTGGTTTCTCAACAAACTACTAACAATCAGTTGTCTTTTTCTTGATATTGTTTTTCATTCAGTTTAACTATAATTTCAGACCTATATCCACATTGTTTGAATTTGACAATTAAAACTATTCATATCATCAATCTTTGTATGTGTATAAAGTATGACATTGAGTAATATACAAGGATATATATACTTTGTAAATATATCAATAATCTATCCTAGAGAAGATTTACATAATAAAAAAATCATTGAAAACTAGGAAGTGCTTGACAATTATTTCGTCCAAGTACAAGGATCTACAAGAATGTACATCCATCAACCCTATCAGAGGTAAAATCCATGATCTTTAGAACACTTTATTATCAACTTAATCAGTGGGATCCACTGGTTTACATTCTTCGCTTTCTTAGATTCATGATTCTGAATAACGATCGTCTTAAAGAACTACTAGGTAACTGCATATCTCATGACATAGGTTAAATGATGTAGTTACCTATAGAAATTAGTCACTAGTGTTTACAGTTAATAAATGGTGTTTGTGGAGATTGTTGAATTTTATAGTTTATGTCATTGACAGATTAAAGTTGAACAATCAATAAAACCAGAAAGTATTCAAAAGCGGTTTCGACGTCATATCTAGACAACAATGTCACGAATTCATTTAATTTAGAGCCTATTTCTTTGGATATCAAATCAGTGGTCAAAAATAATGAAGGTCTCCACGAAACACGTAGGCCTTGAGTTCGAGCCCCGGAAGGGCTATCGATGCACACCACTAGTGAGTTCAATACTAGGGCAAAGCAAATGTTCAATGCTTCTTAATTTTCTATAATGATTTAACTAAGTTTAGTCTGTGGTATAAATTTTGAGACTCAACAAACTTTACACGCTTTCAATAGTAATATTAATAATCTAGAAAAGTAACAAATAGCCGGTGACAACATAGTCCGTAAAGTAACAGACAGTGGAATCGAGAAATCTCTAGCATTTTAACTAGAATGAATTGGATTCAAGTCTCCGTTTGACATATCAACAATATTGAGATGTAGATTTATCCAACTGATAAGTCTCAAGTAGGATAAAACAGACGTCTTTGATTTTTATTTTTTGATTCAGATCACGTATCGACTGATGTTAGACCACTATTGAAAACCTGGAAGCACTGGATGGCCGTTTCGTCATATTATGGTATTCCTCAACAATTTCGTGGATTGGTTTTGGTTAAACAGTAACACTGTTGGATGCCATCCTGCTCAGTGGTCTAGAGGTTTAGTGTCCGCACGCGAGACCGGTGGTTCTAGTTTCGAATCCCGCGATAAGAATTGTGGATGCGCATTATTGAGAAGTCCCATAATAGGACGAAATGGCCATCCAGTACTTCTAGGTTTCCGATGGTAGTCTAACATCAATCGACTCATAATCTCAATTGCAAACATAACAACCTCCACAACCCCATACTGATATATCGAATATAATGAGGTGGTACTGTAGTGAATGAGAACACTAGTGAAGACAATTGAATGTAATTGAACATACAAATTACAGAACTTGATTGTTCTTTCGTTGTCACACTAATCATGCTTTGTTCTCATTCAATTTTCTTTGATCTTTTTAACATTCTGTCGCCAGGTATTTCACTTTCAATTGATGATGATACATACTACTGATATATCTGCCGATATCAGTAGCACACATCACAGTACTTATAATTAACAGAATTAGCACTCAAAGATTTACATGGGCGGTAACCTTAAACTAATCGTAACATTGAATATTTGTCTTACTGGAAATAGGATCGAGACTTTCTTTCGGTTTTGTAGAGATCTTGCATTATTCTCATATGTTATTATTCACAAATGAATATCAACTTGAAGAAATTACTTTTAACTGTGATTATTGTGGGTATATATAAGCTCAATTATTGTTTTAAGTGAACTACTATTAATGTTGTAATACCTGCAATGTGAGATAGTTGAAAGAAAGAAACCATTTTCTGGATATAGGTTTTGTGCTAGTTAATACTTACTATCAAGAAATATCTGAAACACTGATGGAACTGATTCGGTTCCGCATCTTTGAGTTATTCATGCTTCAAATGACCTATTGAAAGACTGAGATATGTACACTGGTCGATGACTGATTATTAACCAATTGTATGTCGGCTAGTTTGGAATGCTAAAGGAATTCCATCAATTAATTTATAATATTGTGGTGCGTGCTACTTATATTGATATAAGTAGTATATGACGCGAGTCAGGAATGTAATGTCTGGCAGCAAAAGATTTGGAAGATCAAGAAAGGAAGAACGGGAATAGAAAGCAATAAGTATAGAAATGCAAGAACAATGAAGTCTGAGACAATTATTGAACATTTTTCAAATTAGGTATTATAGTATGGTTTATTCTAATTTACCAAATAACTCTGTAATGTTGTGTTAAATGTTATTCGGTTGTCCTCATCTGTGTTCTCCTTCACTGCATGTGGTGTCGCTGCCAACCAAGAGGGCAGTGCTGTTCCGCGGACACCGTTGCAGGCCTGGAGCTGAGGTGCTAGTCGGGGCAGTCTGATGCAGAGAGGTGGCGTCGAGTGTGGTGTCCTGGCGGGGCGACGTTGGCTGTAACGGGTACTGTCGACAGGTAGGGGCGGTGGGACGTGTGGCTGTTGAGATGTCGGATGTTGTTGCTCCGGCTTGTCGACGGAGCTATGGAGGTCAGCGCGCCGCAGACACGATATTTTGACGGAGAGCGCGGTACAGACTTCAGAGACGAAGAGTGTGGCAAGGCGAGCACCAACCACCGCAAGGACGACTGCTTTGGAGGAGGGACGAGTGTAGTGTGTGCAACTTATGTTGAAATAAATAGTATATGATGTTAGTCGTGAACAGAAGGTCTGACAGCAGAAAGACAAGAGGATCGAACAGTAAAGAATGGAACAGGATGCAATTGGTATGGAAATGCAAGAACAATGAAGTCTGAGTCATTATGAGACAATTGATGGACATTTTGCAAATTAAGCATTTACTTTATGACTGTTAGATTTTATTACCAATTCCTGTAATTTTGTGTTAAACACATTCGATTGTTCCCCACCGATGTTCGTGTTCACTACAATATATCCTTTACTCTAAGTAACTCGATATGTCTTCGATATAATATCTCAGACTGTAAAAGTGAATGACACAGATTTGAATCCCAAAATGAATATATCAGTTTCATCACAATTTTTGGATAAACCTACCGTGATAACTAGGTTAAATGATTGTAATTTAATAGTTGAATTCATGAGCCAATTAAAGTTAGACCACCTTAGAAAACCTGAACGTCCGTTTTGTCCAAGTATGTGACTCCTCAGCAATGTGCATCTACGATCCCGCCCCACGAGATTCGAACTCAGGACTTTCGGTCTTTTAATCAACAATTACACTTATCATTCTTCAGTTATAGATTATGCATTGTTATTAACCGAATTGTTACTGGGATGATCGACTTTAATCAAGGTAAATATTTGGTATTATTTTTTCTTATTATAATATTCAGATATGAAAGTGAAATGATATCTAAGTGTAGTTTTCCAAACAGATTTTTAACTAATTATTGAAGAAATATTAAATGTGAAGACCATTCAGCTATATGGATACAGAAAACTAATACTGTTAATGTCCAATAGATAGGATTATAGCAAAATGTAACATATGTATACACTTTACTTATTGTATTATAGTAGTGTATGATGGAAAAAAGGAAATAACTTTTTCATTCAAGCGACATATCATTTTGGCGAATAAGCAGCTTTCAAACGTAACTGAATATAATATACTTTGTGATTGGATACTTCACAACATTTACCACCAAATGCCCTGGTACAGCCAAGAGTGGGGAGAGTCCGATCTCTCTCTCGAAATGCTCTCACATGGTCACGCGTAGCCTGTGCCAGGGTAGTCTCACTCACTGCCTTCTCGATACAGAGGTGTTGTTTACGAAATTGAGAGGACGGAAAGCGGATGTTCGGCGCTCTAACCGGGTTGGTGAATACGGAGGATCCATCTAGAGGAGTTTGGAAGCCCTGATTCAAACCGATGATGTACATGGACTCCAGAATACAAAGGAAACAAATGGCGTATGAACCAATCGTTGGTCAACGGCTATCATAGGACTGCATCTCCTTACGATGCTCCACCGTCTTGTGGATCAGACCTTTATGTCAAAGGCTCCGGGTGTGGTCTCCTAACAAAACCACCTGATCTGTCTGGGCTTCCGGGCAGTATCACAGTCACAACGTTTATAAGCAAAGATGGCAATAACGACTCAGTAGTTAAGTGGGTAACGCGATGGCATGTGAAACAAACGGTACTGGATTCGAGTCCCAGAGTGAACATCAGTTCTGAGGTGCATGCGCAAGCAGCTGACGAGTCCCAAATAGGAAGAAACGCGCATTCTGGATTCCATTGCTAGCCACTATCCATCTTTGCTCATAAAGCTTGTGAATTAAGGCAATATCGAGGCAATACACACAGTATGCACATATGTCCTGTTTGGTGAAGACGCTGATAAAATGCACAGTCTTCTGGTAGCACTAAGCAACAATGCCAGAATGTTTGGAATGCACTTCTCTCCCTCTAAATGCAAGCTGCTGCTTCAGGACTGGTCTGCGTCAACACCTGAACTAAGGATAGGGAGTGAAGAAGTCGAACGCGTCGACAACTTCACTTATCTTGGAAGTCTGATCAGCCCTAATGGGCTGGTATCGAACGAAATCTCAGCACGGATTCGTAAAGCTCGTTTGGCTTTTGCCAACTTACGTCACCTTTGGCGAAGGCGAGATATCCGTCTATCAATAAAAGGACGAGTATACTGCGCGGCAGTCCGTTCTGTTTTAGTTGACGGCAGCGAAACATGGCCATTAAGAGTAGAAGACACTCGTAAGCTACTAGTATTTGACCATAGATGTCTTAGAAATATTGCTGGCGTCTGCTGGGATCACCGGGTAAATAATAG